CACAACCTGCTATGACAGTATAGGTAAAGGGGAAATTTTGATTTATTATAAAAGCCTTCTTGATGGAAGTGGCATTTAAATTTGGTCTTAAAAAAAAGTATAGGGTTGGGTATGTGGCAGTGAAGGAGTGTTGCAGGGAAAGGGTTTGCACAAAGTCATAAAGGTGAAGAAGTAGTGTGCAGGGGAAATTTGATACACTCTGGTTGGACACAAGGATCTTATTATAGGTAGATATGGAGACAGGGACTTCCATCCTCCTTATTTATTCAAGTATGTTCCTTCTGTTTTTTCCTTAGTCAAAAAGACGATTTCACCAGGAGAGAGAAGGAAGAGTATGTGAATCTCTGGGTTCCCTGCTAAAACTTCAAGTAAATACTTACTTAGAACAATGTTCTCCTGTACGGGGTTATGGAGTATGTGGGTGTGTATCTTGTAGCATACAAGACAATCCTTCGAAGTATAGGAAGAAAATTATCTATAAATTAGCTCTGCATTTCTTACCTCTGTATTAACTCTAAAATTGGAAATTTCTATTTGATGTTTTATGTGAAAAACATAGTTTTCATCAGTTGTTAGTCAGTTTTTGTTTCCGTGAAAGATATCTGCGGGACGAAAGATTTATTTTGGCTCATGGTTTCAGTCTATGGTCAGGGGAACAGTTGCTTTGGGCCTGAGGCAAGGCTGACGTCATTGTGGTGAGAAACCTCAATCAAAGCAGGCTGTTCGCTGCATGGTGGCCAGGAAGCAGAGAAACAGGAAGGGCCTTCAGAGACACGCCCCAATATCCTACTTTTTCTAACCAGGCCTCACCTCCTAAAGTTTCTCACACCTCCCAATATAGTGTCACCAGCTGGAGACCGGTCTTTGAACATGAGTGTGGGGGGCATTTATTCAACCCATAACAATCAGATATTGTTACACCACTTCTAAGCCTGTTAGGTCCTCAACTCTGACAAGATGTCCCACAGTTCTCCTTTGCACATCCTGTGGCTAACCTATACATCACCATTTTTTAAGGTCTCATGTCCCCATCAATAACGTATTTTAATATAAGATTTAGAAATCATATGGTAGTTAATTTCTGAGCCAATGTATATCAGACATACTAAAAAGCTTACACTAAAAATGAAAGTAGAAAGAGTTAAAAAGATAAGCTGAAATGAAAGTTCGAACTGTTTTTAGGCAGCTGTTTGATAATTTTAGACTTGTGTTATTGGTTGTAGTATAGAATTGTCTGAATAAAGTTTAGTTTATTTTAAAATTTTACCATGCAGTGTAGTTTCCTTATCTTCCCAGCTGCATTCTTAGCCTAAGTGGTACACAGTAAAAATATTTATTCAATCAATGTTTACTGATTACCCGTTATGTGCTAAGGATGAAGTTTCTAGGGATGAAGTGGTAAGCAAAAATCAAACATGAGCATTGGAGATTCATGCTGCTTATTTCCTAGTGAGGGAGATAAACAATTACAGTCAAATTGTAAAAATATTAACTGTGATAAGTGGTATAAAGGAGTGTGTGGGTAAAAAGTATTTGAAAAAAATCCAGGGAGGTTATTGAAGCCTTTCTGGAGATTGGATCAGCTATGTAATTTGTAGGGCCTATTGCAAAATGAAAATTTGAGACCCCCCCCTTGTTAAAAATTGTAGAGCACCTTATAAGTATAGGATTCTTTTTTTTCCTTTCTTCTTCTTCTTCTTCTTCTTCTTCTTTTTTTTTTTTTTTTTGTTTTTGTTTTGTGGTGTACTGGGGTTTGAACCCAGGGTCTCACACTCACTAATTAGGGACTCTATTAATTGAGCCATTCTGCCAGCCCTTTTTCGTGTTGGGCATTTTCAAGATAGGGTCTCATGAACTATTTGCCCAGGAAGGCCTTGAAACACTATCTTCCTGAGTAGCTAGGATTGTAGGTGTGAGGCACCAGTGCCTGACTGAAGTATAGGGAGTTTTTAAAGTGCTGGTTCTAACAAGCACATAGGTTACATGTTCATGAACCTGTATGTACCTGAAGAGGTTATGTTTGAGCCAAGATGTGATGACACAAGAGGAGGAAAAGATTGGTCTAGACAGGAGAAATAGCACAAATGAGTCTTAGGGCAGGAAAGCTCATGGTACATCCAGAACTGGATGAAGACCATTGTGGCTGAAATACACAGAAGAGGGTGAGTGGGCTGGAGATGTGTGTTTGATGGGGTAGAAAGGGTGATATGTAAGGCCAAATAGAGCCTGGTAGGTCATGTTGAGGATTTTGGTCTTTATTACTTGACTCTTGATGTGTCTTAAGGAGAGAGTTTACTTTTGTTGTCAACATACCAGTAACTTGTACCTTGACAGTGTTGGATAATTTTCTCTCACAACTTCCATTTCTTATCAACCTCGTCTTCAGAAATGTTCAGTCTCACCTTTTGTAGTTTTTCTAATGCTGCCCCTTCCCCTAAAGCATGTTTAAAACAACACTTCAAGTCCAGAGAGTGCTTTTGTTGGTAGAAATTGAAATAGATAAGGATATGTGAGCTATGAGTTTTTATTTACTATTGAAGTAGTTTGTGGTCTAAAACAAATTTATGGTAAATTGAAAAAAATTGGTAAAAGGTGAAAATGTTTTATTACTATTTCAAAGATATTTTTCTTTTTATACCTTGGATTAAGCAAAACATTTATTCCTTTCCTCCAGTTTCCAGTTTTAGGTCCTTAATGACAAGAACTTTTGGTATTTCTTGGCAACTTCTTTAGTTTTATTTGCAATCAGGTAATATGTTGCAAAATAACTTCTGAATATGTCTGTTGGATTGTATTTGGAGAATCCCTGGTGGCGGTGATGAATGAACTTTTGTTTTTGGTGCTGCTGAGGATTGAACCCAGGGAGGGCCTCATGTATGTGAGGCAAGCGCTCTACCACTGAGCTATATTCCCAGCCCTGTGAATTGACTTTTAACTGGAATTACTGAACTCATGAATTGCTGTTCATATGAGAACTCATCTTTACAACATAATAGAGTAACTTCTAATTTATCAAAGAATACTTAAATTATATTCAGCATACATTTAATATTCAGTGTATGTTATTCCGTTGTTTGGAAAAATTTAATGTATGTCTAGTATGTATACAGAATAGCTGACCAAAAGTTAAAATTGCCAGATTTTAATTCAAACATCCTACTGTCCTAATACAGATGATAATAAGTTCTTTAAAACTGTGATTAGCTAGAATGTCTAGGGAATGAAATATGATAGGTTTAATCAGATTTCTTTTTCTTTCTTTATATATACAATTAATGAACACCAACTGCATGCAAGGCACAGTACAGTATGGCTTTAATAGTCAATTAAGACACATCTGTTCCCTTAAAGAACTTAGTTTAAATATTTATTCTTTGAAAATTTTATAAATCTTATTCCTTTGCTTTATTAAACTTTAATAAGGTTAATATAATGCATATAAGTGAATCTTTGATGATTTAGGATTTTGTAATGAATAAACCTTGTTGTATTTCTAGTTTAGATGTCAATTGTGTAGGTATGCTGACCGTACATTTTATACTAAAAGGTAACTTTTGAGTAATTTGCTGATGTCAGCTTTTTTTCCGACTTTTATTTTAAAACTCTGTTATAAAGGTTAATTGGGTTCATACTGAAATTTTACTTTGTTAAAAATGAATATTATAGTAAAATATAATAAATATTTAGTCTTGTTGACTTTTTGCTTTGTGTGTCAAAATCCAGTAAACCTTACTTACATGGATGTGTAGTATTGTAGGTAATAGTATACAGAAGTATCTGTGGTTCATTATTTGCTTGTTGATTTCCTGGTATTATCATTCAATGTGAATCTAATTTTTGTGGAGCCCAAACTAAGCTGAAAGTAACATTTACAATTTTTAATATAGTAATACTATACTGTGTTTTTCTTGTCATTGTAAAGTGTGATAAAAGCAAACTAAGGGGTTCCTCTTTCATACTCCCTCTCAAATTATTGGTCTTAAGAAAAAAAAAAAAGCTTTACATATATACATTTCTTTAAAAAAGACAGCCATAGTTATGTATTAAAATGATTTGTTGCTATGTCAGAGACTGGGATTGGTATAAACACAATAAGAGAAGTACCAGTTATGAAATGTCAGATATTTAATTTACTTGCTGAGAGCAAATGTAGCTGCTGTATTAGAATTGGTGATTCCAATGTTTATGGCTTTTGGAAAGAATTCAGCAAAAAATACCTTGATATTCTGTGTGGAGCAATTGCTTATTAAGTGCAGCTGATTAGACAAAATTCAGATCTAGTGCTTTTCCTAAGCACAGGTAGGTTGCTAATATTCTCTTTGTAGCTGGAATCTTCTCTAGATGAAAGATTAAGGGTCAGGGTAAAGCTTCACTTCAGACCTAAAATTAGCTTTACTGGCTTTGTTTCACATTGTAGGTGCTTAATGCTTTTTCACACCACTTTGCTTTAACTGTTTTTGTGGGGTGGTAGTATACATAGCAATGAAATGTTCTAGAACATAAGAGGATTCCTCTGTGTTTTTAAATAATACTAGCTTAAAAGAAAGGTAGAAAGCCTGATTCAGATGTATTTGAGTCTTTCATGTAGAGTGTGAAATTTTACTTGGTTAAAAGCTTACAGTAAAATATTACAGATGTTGTTTCACTATCTTTATTTGTAATGAATAAAGCATCAGTATCTTTTTATATGTATGAACAACATTTGGGCATAGGTGTATTTAAAGGAAACTTATTTATTTGTTAAATTCTCAGTTTTGATTGGACAAGATGTTTTCACCTCTTCTCCCCACAAAAAATAATTCATCACCAAATAATAAAACAAACATGCATTTCAAATAGTCTAACCTACTTATTTAGGTTACCATGGATTATAAGCTAGCGTGTTTCCCATATTTAAGATAACCTTATTAGCAATTGACTTTAAATGCTGTAGGACAATATACATATTAATTTGCTTGATTGTCCATATGTGCATAATCGTCATTGTCTTGTTTCTGCAGCTACAGAACCTTGGCCTGAAAATGCAACATTATATCAGCAACTGAAAGGTAGGTTCTTGTTCACAATTAAAAGTGACTTTGTATCAAAATATATTTATTACCAACTCCCCTAAACCCTCACTAATATAATTTACTGCAAAGAGAGCATAAAACATAAAGAACGGATTCCCTTGTATAATTTGTCTAGGAGGTTTTGCCTAAACTTGTATCTGCTAGTGTAAACCAACTGTTCATGGCCTGTAAGGTCCTTAGTTTATTATTGACTCATTATATTGGCTGCTGGAGGCAGTGTAAAATGATGTGGTTGCAGGAGCATTTGGCAGATTTACTGCACCAATAGCTGAGACAGCAAATTTTTGAAGTCCTGTGGTAAAGTGGGCTCTCAGTAAAAAGGAACTGTTAAAATGTATAGGCTAGGATGGTTCAGGCTCCCTTTAGCAGCTCTTCATATATCATCAGATCACATTATGGACCCCATTTGGGGCTCAGCAGCCTGCTACAGTTGTCAGAAGACTGCAAAGTAATGAAGACTAATAGGCAGCAGCCCTAGTCTTCTAAGCATGGAATTTTTATTGCAGCGAACTTGTCATCTTTCTTTTGTGTGACAGACCTAGACACACTGTGCAATATTAACTGCAAGCTGGTTTTGTGTGATTGTGAATGCTTTTACTTTTAACTAGAGAGATTTGAATAGATGCTATTTTACTGGAAAGGGAATATTTCTTGAAAATTTAAAAGTGAATTTGTTTTTAAATGAGTAATTTTAATTACATATTTCAGATAAGATAAATAATGAAATAGTTTTAGAGGAAACAATTCTATTTTATCATTGTTTACATGTGATATTTTAATCAAAAATAGCATTGATTTAGAACTTTATAATTACTCTAGTGTAGGATATAACTTTTCTTTTTAAATAGGAATAACTTTATAAAATAAAAATACATTTTGCTTATTTATGAGTTATACTTTCAGTCAGACCTTTTTCATTGTATTTCCACAGGGGAGCAAATTTTGCTTTCTGACAATGCAGCTTCTCTTGCTGTGCAGGTAAATATGTAAATAATGTAATTTTTTTTTATCCTCTAGTGATTTTTATCATTTTGAGTTGTAGTTTTTTTCTTTCCACGAGGTCTGATGCTATATGCTTAGAATTTTTCTGTGTGGTTTAACTATTTTTAGTAGCATTGCTTCTCTGTGAAATATAATTTTATTATGAATATTATTATGAAGTTAATTATCATCTGTATATAAAATAAACATAAAAAATCTTCATTATTCTTTTAAACAAAATCACTTTTAAGTGCTAGGCACATTCTGTGTCCTAGCAGTTGTTTTGCTTTTGGTTAGATATGATAGTGTTATTTGGGGGGTAATAGTTTCATTTATAGACTCAGAATTATTTTCTAATTTATTTCTAAAGACTTATTTGCTACGTATTTTTAACCATCATTCCGCTCATTTGTTCTTATTCTAGCCTTAATCCCATTTGGTAATCCTGAAGCAGGCATGTTCTTCTCTAGCTACTCCTTTTATGTTTATTGATTACATGTATGTTTATTATTCTCAAACCACTTACTTACTGAATGCAATAGCTCTTCAAGTTGTTTATCACAGTTATGTAATCCAAAAAAGATGAGTGGCTCTGTAAACGTTAAACTACACTATAGGATACGTGGGGATTTGTTTACTTAAAAAAGTAAACATTTATGTAGGTCATAGAATTGCATTTATATAAACATTTTATATACATTTAACTGTTACTTACTTAATGTAGTTTGAATCACAAAGAAGATTTTTTTTTTTTCCTTTTTGGCTACTGGGGTTTGAACACCAGGTTTCATGGTTGCTAGGCAGGTGGTCTACTGCTTGAGCCACACCTCCAGCCACAAAGAAAATTTTGTTGTGCAGCATCTAAAAGATAACTCAAAAGGGAAATCTAAGAAATATGACATTTATTGGAGGTGAGACTGTGAACTCCTTGAGGATAGAAAAAAAGGAAAGGAATGAAAGCATCAAGCTTTTGTTGTGTTGTAGACATAATGCTAAGCGTTTAATTTTAGGTCATCTCATTTATAGTTTTATTCAACTAGATATCCTCTGGGCTTAGTAACAGTATCTGATACTGTCATTCAGTATGATAGTTCAGCATTCAGTACATCTGTTTTAAGTCAGAGAAAGAAAGGATGGAAATGTGCTGGGATAATAATTTAGTATCTATAAATATCTTTAAGTTTCTTTTAGATTTGTTTTACATCTTTTTCCAAGATTATAAATTATGTTTATTTTTTCTTTAGGTAGTAAGTTTTTAGTTTTTACTTCTTATTATGTTAACTTTTGACAAGCAGAAATTTGCAGTCATGCAATGCAGACTTTATTAATCCTTTTTTATCAATACCTTCCCCTTTTTTGATGAGAGAGATGTAATTTAAGTTGAGCTTTTAAATACTAATAATGAGTTGCCTCGCATATAGAATGTACTCAGTAAATGTTCATTGTATGAACAGTTTGTAAGGGTGGTGAAAGCAATTGTGCCTGATAAATGTTAGTGCAAATAAATTATTTGTGGTGTATAAGATAGTATTTTCTTTCTTTTTTTTTTTGGAGATCATATTGCTGGTTTAATATGTATATGAGAATACATACATGTATTTGTATGTATATATTTACATTCAGTGTTCAACTAGAATAGTAAGAAAGGTTCACATTTTCTCTTAAAACCTTGTAGCAGTATTTCAATTTATAGTATTTTCTATTTTATATCTTAGCTTCAAGCCATAGTGAATATTTTAGTTGAAGCTCTAATAATTCTCACCCCTTTTTAAACTGCCATTTCAGGGATAACTTTCAGGATTTGACAAAACCCCTAGAATGTTTTCCCAGAAAATATTCCATTATACACACAGAAATAAAAACTTACCCAGACTATTCTGCATATGGTTCCAGCAGACTAATCTCATTACTGACACTATATGGGGATCCCCTGTAAAAGCCCATAAACTTAATTAATAGCAGTTTAGAAAGTATTGATGTGATTTTCACCAAATAGGAAGTTATTTTTGGTAGGAATAGACTAATGGTTCTCAAATAGGGAGAGTTTTACCCCTGAATACATGTGACAACATTTAGGTATTTTTGGTTGTCAAACTGTTGGTACCTATTGGTAGACACTAGGGATGCTGCTAAACTTGCCACAGCATGGGACAGTCTTCTACAACAATGAATATCTAGTCCCAGATGCAAATGTTGTCAGGCTTGAGAAACTCTGCAATGGATGGTTTAACCAGCATTCAGTACAAAGCAAAATACTAGTATGTTACCACCTAAAAAAAATTAACAACTTAAGTATGCTGGAAAAAGGAAGAAAAAAACGGTATCTTAGTGTATAGTTTATCAATTTTGTTTCTATGGTTCTTATTCATTTGTGTTCTTTCCATAATTTCCCAAAATCATAGTTGCAATTAAAACCAGAAAATAGGACCTTTTAAAATAATAGAATTTTGCTTAACCATTTCAATTTTTTTATCCTACATATGTCACTTAGATGATAAATTAACCAGCATATATTAAAAATTCTTGGTTTTCTTTAATATTCTTAGGCCTGACAGCTGATAGTAGCCATGACTATAAATGTGACTTTTCACATATCTGATGTAAACTTTATGGAGTAATTTTCTTCTGTATAGTGGACCAGCATCTGTTAAGAAGAATCCGTTTATGTTTCATGTTTGATGCGTAAAATTGGTTGAAATAATGTGATAGATATCCATAAAGTGCATATTTTCTAGAAGATATCAAACAGCAAGTATTTTAATTGTTTGCCAGTTTAGCCATCAGGAAATTTAAATTTTTCTTACCATATAGGCTTGGTATTTACCCTGATGCTAAGTGGTTAGATCTTTTCACTTTCAGTTTAAAAGAAAATAAACTAATTTTTCCCTCCTATGACTGTTTCCTCTTAGATTTGCTTCCTTTCTGTCAAAAGTATTGGAAATGTTTGCCTGGTCATAATGTAATCTCGTATGCTGAATATAGTGAAATAGTAGTATGTAGTGTTTATCTAGCTTTTATGAGCTGTATGCATGTGTTTGTAATATATATGTGCACAAAGGCACAGGAGGGCAGTTTTCTATTCTATAATACCACTTTGTAGAACTTAAGCTTATATTGATTGATAAAACAAATTTGATAGTAATTTTGTTACTACCTTTTCCTAGCCCTTAAACCTAAACCAACTATCCAATAGGTAATACGATGTTAGTGCACATGTAATTGAAAATTTTCATATAGCCCCATTTAAAGAAAATGAAAGAAACAGGTGAAACTAAGTTTAAATAAGATACTTTATTTAACTCAATGTATCAAAATGTTAGTTTTATCATAGAATGAATAGAAAAATTATTTTACATTTTTTCATTTTAAGTTCAAAATTTGACTGTATATTTGCAGCATGTCTTAATATGTGCTAGCCACATTTCAAGTGCTCAATAGTAAAATATGGCTCTTGTACTGGATAGTGCAGGTTTAAAAATACAGTATGAGTAAATTCATATTAATTCTACAAGTTTTCTGTAACAGGTGTTAGAAAATTCTTCAAGAAGTTTATGTCTGTACTGATTCAGTATATGTTGTCTTTTATAGCCAATTCTACAAGTAAAATGAGCAGTTGGTCCATGTTACAAATATATCATAACTTAAGTGGAACTCTTTATTTCAAGTTTCCTCATCTATAAAATAGACTTATAATAGGTGTTGTCTTACTGGGTTATGAAGATTTGAATGTGTTAGCATTTAGAAAAATATATATGCAATGAATGTTGATCATTATTTCCTTCTCTCCTGATTCTTTGACAGAAATACACATAATTTCAGCAAGGGGATTGGGAACTTGAGGGATTGATTATGCCTAGATTTTTTGGGAGACATACTTGTATTTGTACGAGCATTAATAATAATTTTTAAATCATTCTTTCATGCCATACCTAAAAAAATTAACATGGAATCCTTTAATTCAAACAAAATGTTATTTTAATGACATTATTGAATAAGATTTGTTTAAGCTGGTAGGATGGTTCAAGTGGTAGAGCCCCTGCCTAGCAAGCTTGAAGTTCGGAGTTTACATCCCAGTACCACACAAAAAAAATTGTTTTGAAATTTAATATGAAATGCTTTTATTGCATAACAAACTGTATTGAGAACTCTTTTTTTCCCTGTAAAGTATTGCATTTGATTCTTACCACAACCCTAAGGCAAGGTACTATTGTTACTCTCCTTTTAAAGATAGAGGAGTTAAAACTCAGAGGTGCTCTGTCCAAAGTCATAGAGCCTACAAATTGTGAAAGTAAACAGAGAACAACAGGATTAGTTGAATGCCACATGTGCTTGTCACTGTGCTGAGCACCTAATTCTTGCTAATTAACTCATTTAATCATTGTAACAACTGTATGAGGTCAGTGCTACATGATAACCCTCTCCAGATCAACTCTGTGGAGTACGTACTGTTGTTTATTTCCTCATGGATGAGAAGGTAAGGCAGAGAGTTTAACCAGTTGGTAAAAAGTTACATAAAAAGTACTTGGCAGAGCTGGAATGTAAACCTAGGGGGTCTGAGTTGACAGTCCACATGCAAAACACTTTGCTGTGTATCATTCTAGTCAATGATAAAAATCTTTGAACTTTTACCCAACAATAAGTAAATATTTAACTACACATTATTTCTGACTTTTCTAGCAAGGCATATCTTACAATTTATAGTTTATATTAAGGTATGAAATGTCTTTAAAATGTCTTAGCTTTTGGATTTTTGAAATGAGATAAAGTTAGTCTTACATATGAGAAGTTCTTTTTGAAAAAGTAAAAGCTACAGGAATACAAGATGATGCCTGATGAAGAATTAGTACCAGTTTCGACTTCAAAGATTTATATACCTATTTTGTGAATGTCATATAAATAAAATATTACTTGCTTCAGAAAGATTTTCGCTTACTATATATGATGCCAATTTAAAAAGAAGCTTACTTTCTTGTTTTGTTTTTTTGAGATAAGGTCTC